ACAATGTCGTAGAGAGTCCTAGGGAGTATTTCGGGATAATATGTTTGCACACAGGCAACACCAGTTAGTCCTGAAAAGAGGCAGAACGAGAAAGAGAGAGATGGAAGGAATGAAGAAAAAGGAAATGTTTGGTCAGAGAAAGCTCGAGCTGGCTAAAGCGCTGTTACGGTCTTCATCAGCAGCGCAATCACAACACATCATTAATGTTCTTTAAAAAGTCATATAAATCCTTTAACATGGAGTAAAGTACACTGCCAGCTATCAAAGGCAGGCAGGCGTAAAGGGCCAGTGCCCATATTTCTTTTTAAGATATCAAAGCTCTGGAGTCTGTTTTGTTGTGACATCAGTACGCTGAGCCCTTTGCACGTTGTGGCGGCGAGCGAGGCCCCTGCGGATGGAGTCCCTCCCAGAGCCGTCCCATCGTGCTTTGTGCCATACTTGGCTGCTGACTTGAGAGCAGTTGTGAAGTTCACTTTCAGTGTAACCCCTCAGAGATGGATTACCTGCTATTAGCATCGTAGTCAGTTATTCGACTCCAGGAACATAAATAAATTAGTTTGAGTTACTTTTTGTGTAACTTTACTTTCCAGTGACCTGTTAAATTATCCCTTCGTTGAGTTCAACTCCAAATGGATGCTATTGTATCTGATATCAGAATAGAAGTAAAAAAACACCAGACAGAAATAAACTAGACTGAGGTCTCTGGCCCCGCCCCGCCGTAGGCGTGCCCCTGCTTCGAGTGGCGGGAGCCATCGGCGAATCGGAGGAGGGGGGCGAAGGTGCTGTAGTCTGGCGTTCTTTGCCAGCGTGTGAACATGATTTTCTTGGTAAAGGGTTCAGACCTTCGAGGGTTCGGGGAGTTCCTTTGGTTGCCCGAGCCTCGCCGGAGGCTGCCAGCCTTGGACGGGGCGTGGAGGGACGCCAGGGGGGTGAACTCGGACAGCTGGCCCTCGTAGAGTTTATCAGCATTCTGTGTGTAGAGAGGGAGGAAAAGGAGACAACAAAGTGAAAACAGAGAAGTATACATGTTTACTGTAGAGGGCCAATGGAGGAGATTCATGGAGGAGACATTGTTATCCCAGCTGGCCAGAAATCAAACTGTAGATACATTTGTGTACCTTTAGTCTTCTAGTTCTTCATGGTTTGGCCTTAGTTTTAATGAATGGAAATCTGTGCTACAGTATAGAATACTATCTTCAGTGATATAGGAGGAGAAGAGATTAAAGGAGGTTATGGCTGGAGGCGGGACAAAGGCCAAATGAGCTACTGCAAAAAGCAAGAGGCTTTCCTCTGTCAGTAACCTGAACCTGCGTCAGCAAACAATTCAATTATTTGTATGATTTAATTAATAAAGTGCATTAATCTAATAGGCCAGCTGTGATGATAATATCCTGTCCAACCTGTTCAGACACAATGCAGCCAGAGCAAATGAAGTACACATAAATAAATACTGGAACGCCATACAGCAGCATAAAAAGAGGCAAAAACAACCATGCAGATGGAAACATGACGGATAAACATGTATGAATGTTCAGTCCGACTGTGTGTTCGGAATGTGTCACTAGAGGGCGCCAGAGCTCCGTGTAAACAATCACCCAACAGGATGCGAGCGCTTTAGTCGATACCTGGAGGATTATTAGATCACCGAACTTTCAAGACCCTCATGCACGCTCACACTCCACCCATGTGTTAGTCAGGGAAAACTCTCAAATTTGTGAAACTTCTCACCACGGCAAAGTAAACCCCATCACTGCAGGATGTTAACATCACCCGCCGTTACCATTACACACACACACACAGTAGCAGGGTGTGTGCTTTACCGTGCCGAAGCCCTCTAGCCTTCTGTGACAGCTATTCCATCTAGTAAGGTGACAGAGCTCTGGTAGGTCAGGGCCCTCTCAGACCCTCTATTATCCTTCACACGCTGTGGACACACACACACACACACGCATACAACATTAAAACACACACAGTCTAACATCATCACTGGCATGCGATCACTAACAAAAGAGTCGCTTCATGCAGAACAGCAGCAGGGAGAAAGTAAGAGGATACAAAAAAAAGGAATAAAGAGAGGATTGTTTACAGGTTACAGACAGGAGGGAAGGCAGAGGGTCACCTCTGGGAGGGCTGGGTTAGAAACTCATTCTGCTGGAGGTCTGAGACAGCATAAAGATGGTGGAGGGCTCGGAGGCGAGGCACCGACGCTTAGTCTGCCACGGAGGAGAACCAGAGGGAGGAGAGGACGAAGGGAGGAACCAGGAAGTCAGAGGACAGAAGGAAGAGGGAGGAGGGAGAGTTAAAGCTCTGGAGATCTTTTCAAAATGCCACGTGAAAGTTCACATTTACAGACGTGGGAACGTAAAGCCATATCTGGAGAGGGTTGAGGAGGCTGGTCATTAGCTCTCCACCACCACAGTCATAAGGAAGATGAAGAGAAAGGAGCAGGTTAAGACATGAAGGAAGAAGTTCAAACCTATTTAACAGGCTACACACAGACTACAAACCAGAGTTGATGGCAATCCAAATTTATTTTGAGTCTCTTTTTTTTTTTAAATTAAGAGATAAAGGAGCACTGCACACGGACCGACAGACCGGCTTACTGACTTACATCCAACAGAGTAGGGACGTAGCCAAAGCCAGCGTACATCTGCTGACCCACAGTCACCAGTTAGACATTTCACGCACACACACACAGTTAATAAACAGTATTATACGTGTGTCTACAAAGCTTTAATTAGATATTGAATTGAATTTATACCACTTTCAGTGTTGCCAACGTCTAGTTCTTTGCAAAGTTTAGAGGTAAATGTGCTAAATTGATTTATGAAACATGACATGCAGAGGGTGCTGTTTTACCTGAGCTTGAAGGAAAAGATTTGATTAGTAATTATTCCCAAAACAATGTAATTCATTTGACAAATAGAGGTTTAGATTTAAAAATATGTACGAGTATGCACCCACCTGTATGCGTTCAGTCGTGGTGGGCCACAGCGTCCTGCAGATGACCTTCTTCACCACGTCTGGCAGCAGACTGGCTGTTATCAGAAGGATTATGCTGAGCCAGGCCGGACCACTGGACAACATCTGCATGAACACATAGTACATCCTCTGGTAGTTGAGGAAGGGCCTGTGAGGAGAGAGGAGAGGAGGCAGCGAAATACAGAAAATAAATGTATTTTTTTCTCAGTAGCTTATTAGGTGTCAGGCTGTTACATTAAATCGTGCCGACATTATCTATCTACATTAGCTTACCAGATGATTCCTCCCCACAGCAGAGAGAAGACCACAAAGAAAATCAGCGAGCCCCAGATGACAAAATGGTTGATCCAAGTCCAGTAATGAGTATCTAGAGCCAACTACAGGAGAGAGGGGAGAGCTGAGAGAGCAAACCTTCCACCTGTCAAACGCCACAGCTCACTCTAATGATACCAGTGAGTGCAGACACTGTGCGGACTGAATGTGCGTGTGTGGTTACCTTGAATGTAACAGTGAAGACCAGCACAGTGAAGACGAGCGTCCCAAATGTCCAGTTTCCAAACATCTGCAGAGGCAAACAACAGATGCTGTTAGTGACGCCGACTTCTGTTCTTGTTAAGTCAAATCATATTCGAGGTGACTCTACGGGCCTGGTGTTGATATGGGACACAGATAAACTGAAGTGCAGGTACTCAATAAGGAATCAATCAATCAAACAGATGGCAGGGTGCTCAGACGGCAACAGTCAGGTGAAGAATAGATTGTCAGATTCCTGATGGGTGGGAAATCCGGGAGAAAGAATTAGAGATGTGATGCATCAATAAATTACGACGAGCATGAAGAGATACAAAATGAAGCTTTTCAAAGCCACCTGAATATGTGGTGGTTGTAATGATGATGTGATGGTGATAAATGAAATCAGTTACGACTGATGAACAGACTTTATAAGTTACTTTGTAACCCCAGACTGTGGTCCCATTATAAGCTATCCAAAGTACCAACGGAAGACACTAAAACATGTTTGGATTGCTGTCATTAAAAGCAGAATTACAGAGATATGATAACAGTGAGGCACTGGATTGGTCCTGGACTTCGCTTCTCACGGAACCTTACAACACTGATCTGTTAAAAGTGCTTTTCATTGTTCTGGTGTTTTGCTGTGCAGCTGTTGACATACGCAAATGTACCTAATTTCCTTTTACTTTCTGTAAATATATAAGAAACGACCACTCTCCGTTATTTCTTTACAAATAAGCCTATAAATAGTCCTGATGGCAAATGTGACAATGTTCTTCTGCTCTAAAGGGACAATTAGATTAGAAAGATGACCAAATGTCTCAAATGGCATGTAATGGACGTAGGAGTGCAACTCTTTCTCTCCATTCATTTATCCCCTGCTTTTAACACACACACACACACACACACACACACACACACACACACACACACACACACTGTACAGCGTTGGATCGCTACATTAACACCTGGACACATGAGCATGGGTCACTACACAAACGCCTACAGCAAGCACTAACGTGAGATGAACGGTGGATGGAGGACGAGAGGTTTAGTATCAGGCTGTGAGACGGGACCAAACAGGAAATTGGAAACTGAAACTAGGGAGAGATGACAGAGAGACAGGGACAGGCTTACCATCTGTGTGTTGGTTGTCATTAGCTGGGAGGAGGAAAGAGAAGCAAAAAAGAAAAAGCAACACAAAGGTAAGAGGAAGAGGAAGAGAGAGCGAAGAGGAGAAGGCCAGAAGAAGGAAATCATAAGAAAAGAAACAACAGTTTTGTGGCTGGAGAAGAATAAAATTCCAATGCATAAAACAAGTGAAACAAAGCAACTCAAAGCAGTGGTCACTGTGAGAGCAACGCTGCTCGAAAATGAACAGAAACAAGTAGAGAAACACAGAGAGAGATGGAAACCCGCCATGCTGTCGCTTCTTGGATGTGAATGGGAGAACGTTTATCATCTTTTAAAGTTCATAACAACAGGTGTAAGTCCACCTGCACCGTCTTTTTATTAACTCATTTATTTCTAATTGACTAACCTACAAGTTAGACCTCTTTAAGTTCTGAGTTAAAATGACAACACAAAATCTAAAAGCTAAAAATGAATCTATCAGATGCTTCACACTAAGAAATCCACTTTCAAAGCAATTCTGTGTCTTTCAGTTAAAACACATTGAACCTGTGTGATGACAAAGGTGAGAATAAGCTGAGATTCAAACCACAAAGAACAATGTTCTTTGTTTCTATGTATTAATAAACTTAAAACATCTTAAAGATACTGAAAAAGCCAAACGACAAGCAGCAAATTAGATGTGATCGATGTGTTTTGTAGAGAACTGCATCACGACAAATCATAATAGTACTTAATCAAAAACTAAATATGTTATATTAAAGCATGCAGCCCACAATTTGATGTCAATTAAAACATATAACATTCATGGGTTTCTCTTACAAACTGGACTAAAAATAATTAGGTGCAAAAACTGTAAAAATGATGTCGTCACTAAGCAGCCTGTAGATGTTCTCTTGTCCAAGACTGAACATAAGGAGCCGAACTTTGACACGTGGATGTTACCTGTCCGTTGCTGGTGAAGGTGGTGTTGTCAAACAGGAAGTAGCACCCGAAGAACATCACGAAGGCGTCGTACACTCCCAGGATAGTCCAATATATGAAGATGGGCCAGCGCAGCAACGAGTTCTTAGCAATATCTCTGAAGACAAACACGAGATGATAGTAGACAGTATGACTCATGTTGACGACCTCACATTTGAATCAATACCACATCAGCTGCCTTTGGGAGGACCGTAACCAGAAATGACTGTCGTAAAATATTCGAATTAGATTTAGCTTTCAAATGCAATAATTCATGAATACATTGCTGATGTAGGCGCCTTATGAACACTGAAATACTAAATGACCTGAGCCTAACGACACTGACCGATAGAGAGACGGGTCCCTTCTCAGGATGTCCATGTTAATGTGCTGCTCGATGAGACTGTAGAGCAGAATGGGCAGCGAGGTGAAGCTGATGTTGTACAGAGTCAAGTAAGCTGTATCGTACAGTGGCTGTGGAGACGAGCAGAGAGCATTAAGCATTATTTGACTTCTTATGTTTATTTTGTGTACTTGTAAGTGTGTGTGTGTGTGTGTGTGTGTGTGTGTGTGTGTGTACATACCTGTTGTGAGAAGCCACAGAAGAACTGGTAGAGGAACTGGGGGAAGATGAAACAGACATTCTGGGAAAAGAAGGAAAACAAATGAGAGATAAATGCAGGAAGCAGGTTAGCAGTTGTCAAACTGATTAAAAGTGTTTGTTTGTCGCAAGTTCTTGCTAAAGCTTGCGGACATTAAAAACATGCAACTTAAACGATTATAGGATGGATAGAATTCAACTTAGTTTAAGTTGAATTCAAGAAAGAAAGTCAATTGAGATATATTTACACACATACATGAAATGAGCAGACACACTACCTTGTAGAAGAAGTATTGCACGAGCTCAGAGATGCGTATGTAGTAATAGTGTCCATGGACGAGCAGGATCTTCTTGAGGTGTTTGAACTTCGGGATGGCGTAGTCGCTGTTCCTCGCCGCCTGACGACCCTCCTTACCCATGATGCCTTGAGACGCACATAAAGGATACATTGCACACATGAGGTGAGTGAGGTTAAGGTGCTGACTTTCACGGGGATGTAGCGCGTTAGTTTGTTAGCAGGACGGACAAAAAGTGTCAGAGTACTAACCGATGCCCACGTGGGCCTCTAGGATCATGCTGACGTCGTTTGCTCCGTCTCCAATGGCCAGCGTGATCGGGTGCTCCTTGGAGGCTTTGATCAGCTTCACGATCTAGAAAATACGAGGAAAGAGACATCAGACCTTTAACTCCTTACAGCAGCTTAGCAGATCACCACAAAGCATCGCTTATATTTCATTTAAGATTAAAGTCTGAATGATATGAGTGAAAACGGTCCTACTCGTTCAGATTGACGCCTGTGTCTTTGTACCTGGGCTTTCTGGAGCGGCGCCATTCGACAGCAGAGCACGGCGCTGCAGTTGCGGCAGATTTCTAGGAAGATCTCTTTGTAGTTCCCTGAGTTGGAGTCCTCCTGGGCGGGCCTCATCACCGCAGAGAGGGTGGCCCCATCGATGATCAGACCGTAGTCAGTACAGTCACCTGATAAACTGGACAAACAGAAGACCTGTCAAATACAGGACTTAAAGAAGGGACCAGAAAAATGCTATACAGCTTCTTCTCATTTTAAAGTATTTAAAGCATGTAACAGGTTGTTGTCTCACCCAGAGAAGGACTCCCTGGTCATGCCTCCGTGCTGCCTCAGCACCGTCCTGCTCAGGTCAAACAGGACGTCGTGAAGGCTCTGCTCCTCGGTGCGTTTGGTGGTGAGCTCCAGGATCTGGGTGTTGCGGCGAAACAGCTTACTGGCGTAGCAGGTTGCGGCCGCCGTCTCCATCTTGTCACCGGTCAGCACCCACACCTTCATACCCGCCTGGTGGAGGGACTCAATGGTGTCTGCAGCTTTTTCCTGGAGCCTGGCGTGCAGGACAGTAGGAAAACAGACAAAGAAAGAGAACATTTTAGTGATCTATAAGTACGCATTAGGAGATAAAATCAACAGTATCAAGTGTGCGATCGGAGGGTTGAACTGCCTCTTGTCTTCACTCTCAGAAGTGGGGCAGCACATGTCAAGGCAACAGCACGCACAGAATAAAGAGTTAGTGCTTTGAGGTGCAGACATTTAGATCCAAAAAGGGCAACCGTGGTGGATATAATAGACTAGGTTTCTATATAACAAGCAGCAAAATGTAAAAGAGATCCTCTACCTGTCCTCCACAGCAGTTGCTCCCAGCAGTATCAAGTCTTTCTCGATGATGTCGTAGGCCTCGGCCAGTCGTTTGTCTCGGTCCTGTAGTGCCAGCTTGGCCCCGTTCAGCAGGTGGCAAACCTCCTGGTACTGCTCGGGACTCAGAGGTCGATAGGCCACACAGAGTGTCCTCAGACCCTCCTGGAGGAGAGGAGGGAGTCAAACTGGGTGAGGCTGGGACATCAAAGAATAATCAACAGTATCTACAGTAGTAAATTATAGTGTGTGTGTGTGTGTGTGCTCTCACCACTGCGTTGTGCTCCACCCGAGCTTTGACCTGATCCACCTTGCCTGATACAACCCTGGGGAAGATGGAGGAGTCTGCACCTTTACAGAACAGATAGAGCTCCCCTGCTCACATGCACAGAAGCAAAAAAAAGAAGTGTGTGAAAGAATCCATGGACATAAACCTAATCATACACGTGCATATTCACAGTTTGACGTGTATTACCAGTGCTGGACCTGACAATGACGCTCATCCTCCGTCTGACTGAGTCGAATGTCAAAACCTCCAGCAGCTGAAACCTAAAAAAAAATAAAACACACCAACATTAAAATGATCCTGTGGTCAAGTTAAAACTAAGGTGAGCAGTGACACTAGCAGGCTGAAATGACAAAAAACAGTAGAGTGCAATAAAAGAAGGATCGGATTATGATCAGCTTTATCTTAGCTGATACGATAAACAACATTGTCCTAAAGGGACACACTCACCTCTCAATCTCATCCTCCCTGTTCAAGATCTCCATCTGACTGTCTTTCAGTCTTAGATAGGTGAAACCGAGTCTGCGGCACAAAACAAAGCACCATTGTTTGAATTTGGGTGACATTACTTAATGTAAAAGACGAAATGTTTCTAAATGTGCTATGTGTGCGCAGATTCAATGCAATTCAAAAGTCTGATTATCACTGATATTGTGTGTGTGTGTGTGCGTGTGTGTGTGCTCCACCTCTTCATGCCCTCCACCAGCGCCACCTCGTCTGGCGATGAGGAGATGTAGAAGGAAGTGGACTTGCCCTGGTGGATGCCTTGCTTGATCCCGTCCACCGTCTCCTCCTCCTTCACCTGCACCGTGTGACACAAACACAGCGCCCGGAAAAACAGCTCCTCGTGCTCCTGCGGAGGACGGACAACACAGTGTTACCCTCACGAACACACACACACACACACACACACACACACAAATACACTCACGACTGAGGCTATGCTCACCCTAGCCCCAGGACCTGGCGATGTGTCAATCATGTCCATACTTGTTGCACCAGGCATCACCTAGTACACAAAAACACAACTGAAGTACATTTAAATAAGCGAGGACATGTGCAAAACCACATGAATGAAAAACGTGGATCAAAGAGCATCAATAGGAATAATTGATACAAGATGACAAGTTTTCTTTGAGGCAAAATGAGTCTCTATTTCAAACATGTGCTAATATCATAAAAAAGAGTGAGAAAACAATGTTTGTCGTAATGTGAGTGGTGAGAAAAAATAAAGATATGCGCGCAAATAAATAATCACAAAGATCCATCGGGCTGTTACCTGTCCGTTACAGATAGCGTGAGGTACATAGACGTGTCCGTCCACACAGCACTCGATGAACTCCATGTTGTTCTCCGTCAGAGTCCCTGTCTTGTCTGTGAACACATACTCCACCTGAACAGAGAGCGAGATACGAGTTACAGCCGGATAAGTCTCTACGTGACTTCTCTGCGTTTCTGTTCCAGGTGTTCTTCGCTACCTGCCCCAGCTCCTCGTTCAGGTCCGACGTGTTGACCACGGCTCGCTCCCCCAGCTCCTCGTCGAACATCTCATCGTCCCACATGATGAAATAGGAGCCCAGGAACTTCTGCATCTCCACAGTGACGTACATGGAGACTGGGATGATGTAGTTGAACAGAACCATGAAGGCCAAGAAGTCTGTGAACGCCCTGATCATCTGAGGAAGAGGAGAAGGTTAAGAGGGGATGAAGAATTGTTTTTTAAATTGAGGGATTATAATTAACAGACTCACGATGTGTCTCTGTCGCTCTGCTTCTGTCCTGTCGTTGTACCAGGGCTCGTCTCTGTTGGGGTCGGCCTGCCACACATATTTCAGCACCGTGTTGATGAGCGCCTTGCTGATGAGGATGCACAGGTAGACCATCAGGTAGGCATTCATCGACCTGCAGAGGGAGACAACAAGAGGCCACATTAACACAAAGAATACCTCTAGTCCATACACGGAAATCTGGCACATGAAAGAGACTGGATTAGATTGTAACACGCTGCTCTTGTCAGAATAGATAACAGGCATTTACTCAGAGCCAAGTCCATTTTGGCAAAAGGAAGACAAATGCAATTCCAAGGATTAATCAGGCCCACACTGTTGCCAAGTGTAAATGTAATCCACCTCCAGTCATTCATATCTACAAGCCATCTGGATACAAGATGCCAGATGGAAGGGAAGTGATCCAGTCAGTGCAACACAAGGACTCTCAGTCAGTGAAGAGATGGTTGGGAAAAAGATATGAGTGGTAACCTTTACAAGTTTATAATATGTATATGTGAAAGCCTACTTTTCCACTGCAGACCGTTTCTGAGACTTGGACTGGTAGTTGAGAGCCATCTTGGTTTCCATACCGGTGTAGATGGCCACCGCTGAAAAGGAGGCAGAGAGGAATGTTCACTCTTTGACTAAACAACATCTTAACAAGGTGCTATTGCTGGATTTTTCCCGTGCTTTCAATCGCATCTAGCAGTCTTCGTTAGCGTATCGAGTTTGCAAACACGACTGCCGACGTTCCATGCTTCAATTGAAGACAACTGAGCTAACTCCATCTGAAGACAGTGAGAATCAGTTGAAAGCTCTGGAAAAAGCTAGTTTGGTCACTCATAGATGAATATTTCTTTTATTTCTGGCATATTAGTGTATTTCATGTGCTATTACCATAGATGTACTCAGTGTTCTTGAGCGTGGCTCCTCTGAGCAGCAGGTTTTCTGATCCTAGCGGCCTGAAAAACAGACAACAGCTCATTGTTACACCGTTTGATCGCTCTTATTGTGAAAGTGCTGCAGCTGTATTCTTTTCCTCCTTGTAGATGTTTGCCACCTAATAACAAAGTCATTTAAACTACGCCCCTGCTCAAGGACAAATGTAAAAAGAAACTAATTCAAACTAATTTAGAGACACATTTTGACACAAAAGAACTCAGGGAAAAGTAACAGAATCCAACCATTTATTATAATAAAAAATGCAAAATTCAGAATGTCTTCAAATCAAAATAACAGTACCTGGCCACCGGCTCATTGTCCATGTAGACGTTGATACGGCCCACAAATCTGTGTAGGAGAGACGTAACAGGAAAGAAGACATGTTTCAGACATTTGTCAAGTGTTTTCCAGGTGTGTGTGTGTGTTTGTGTGTTGTACTGACTTGTACAGGTCCGGCTGCGGTTGTTCACATTCTATGGTAGCGTGGATGGAGCCCACCTCCTTCTCAGTGTTGTAAGCCCTCGTGTCCTGAACCGCATAGTATGTCTAGAGAGGAGAGAACGGAGACCTTCGCAATGAAAACTGTCCGCCTTAACTCGAAGGACGTAAAATTCAGGTTGGATGAAGTGCATTAACACACACACTGTACACACCTTGTGGCTGCTCTCTCCGTCCAGACTGGCTGTAGTAACAAAGCAGGTCCCGTCATCTCGAGAGGAAGAAAGAAGGATGAGGTCGCAGGGAAAAGTCTCATTTTCTTTCACCGAGACGACATCGCCAACCTGAGACGCAGACAGAGGAGAGGCGTCTTATTTCTAATTTAAGTCTGAATTGCTCTCAAATCCCTCGGCATGGGCCAGTAAAACAAATGCACCAAAGCTCTAGATGGAGTGAGAGTGATTTATCCCGTGGCACACCACGTACCCTGAGCTTGCGACTTTGTTTGCGGACTACTTTCCCGTGCTGCACCACGTGGACGGGACACTGGTTGACAGAGTTGTCCGCTTTGTGTCTCAACCAGTCCTCGTAGCCCTGGCGGAGAGAGACGCAGAGGAGCAGTACGTAAAGGCTGCTGTGGTGGAATTGCGTCAATCAAAGCGGTCGTGAAAACACTCCGGGTCTCACCTGTTTGATGGCGGTGACGGTGATGACAAAGAAGAGCGGCAGCCCGCTGGTGATGGGACTGGTGGGAGTGTCGATGATCAGCTGGAGGGACACGCAGAGACATTTAGAAACAAAAGCAGTGGGAAGATACATTTTAAATGTCTGAGATTGATATCAAAGTAAAAAAGAACAAAGCGTTTACCTGGACCAGAAATATGATGAGAAAGTAGAAGTTGGCGACTCTCCTGAACTGCTCGAACATATTCTTCGGGACGAAGTTCCAAAATGTGTACTGGAAGACATGAGACAATAAGGGTCGGAATAAATTAGAGGATAAGATGCTGTTGAATTGATTTTACCATGAGTAGACTTTACATAAACCCAGTATCACAGAACAAACATTCATCTATATTTAGAGCCATGAAGACCTTTTTAAAAACTGGAAAGACAGAACAAGATTGTCAATAGACCACTGACTGATTAAGATGTTGAGAGAGTCCCATTATCTTTAAAATACAACATCCACTCTGTCCAATAACCGTGTCCTATTACCAAGAATAACTCCCTCACACTACGTGCTTTGCTACTTGTGTGTTTTGATCTTTCCCGTGCTTTCGCTGACCTTGGAGGAGACTATTCTGTTGTCGGGGAATCTCTGCTGTATGAAGGCCTCCGCTCCTGGAGGAGGCTCCTTGTGTCCGATGTAAATCGTCCTGTTGTCCACCCAGTTCTCCTCACCAACACACTGCGGGGGGGGGGGTAGTTAGAAGGTATATTCAGGGTCAGCGGGTGACTCTTACATTCAACTAGGTCTTCATGGGAGATGAGTAAATGTGTGACGGACCTATGCAATCAATACACTCCTCCACACTGATAACAGAATGTTGACACACTGAAGCAGACGTTTACAGAGAGACAGAATGAATGAGTAACTTCTCCTCTGTGAATGAGAGCTTTTGTTGCCACGGATACACTGGCCTGCATGTGACTCAGACTGGAATGCAGATTACACACACACGCACACGCACACACACGCACACGCACACGTTCCCGCGCACACACACACACACGGACTGAGTGAGACACCTGAAAGCGTTTCGTCGTTTGACATCTCTTTGTTTTTAGCTCTCATTTTCCTGCCGCTGCTGAAGTATCTCCACAATATGACAGATTATTTAAACAAGAACTAATGTTAGTGAGGTATTCTATACACTAATACTGAAACATGCAAGTGAGCTATTTGAGCTTCAAGTATTTCAGGCAGGACTGAACTTGTCCTGGAATCACACACTAGTACCATCTCCATGCAGCCCATTGAATCTGGGTATTTTCCTCAATTGTCTGTGGACAAGAAATGACTTCAAGACAGATGGAACCCCGTCCAGAGGGCTTTCTTGTCACAACAGGCCGCGGCCATCTTTAAGCACCTGGTCATTTTGAACTGCAGGTGACCAGAATGAGGAGCTGAACTCCAAACACACCTAATCATCTCCCTCCGTCGCCTCGCTCTCTCTCAGCCATGAAACATTTTCTACAAATGTCCAACGAAAGTCGTTTAATTCATCCCCAAATAGTCTGTCTACAAGCACACACACACACACACACGGGCTAATGAGAGGTGACAGTAATCTGTGGCTGGTGAATGAGATTGAGTGTCAAGGGGGCTGCATGGCCCAGTTTCTACACACTCTCTCCGTCTGCCCTTCACACCCACACCCACACACACACACACAGCTCTAAGATTACCTTGTTTAAGATGGAGAGCTATTTATAGCCTGTGACCTCCAACTATTTATGGAATAAAGAGGAAATGACACACGGATAGAAATGTATTTATTTAAGTCATACACACAGTGTATCATCCGTACTTCCCTGTCTTCACTGCCCTCTTCTTTACCTTTTAGAAGGCCAGTATTGATGCTGTCTGGACACTGAACCAACATCACATCCATCACATCAGAGAGGGTTCTTACTAACTGACTGAGGAGAGGAATATCAGTTAGCTTGCCAACTCTGTGGCCCGCACAGTGTTATTGTTCCTCCTCTTCTCTCTCTCCTCTTCCCGTTAGTCGCCTGCACATGAACCGAGCCGTAAAGGTACAGGAGCACACAAGATCAATGTACGATGAATATACTGTACATTATGGAGATGCTACTAATTATTGGGAGCTCGTTAGCCTGATAATTAGTCGGCCTGTAAAGGCTGTGAGGTATAATCCAATGTGACATACGTGTGTTGATCACTGACTGACAATCTCTTCTGCTCATCTCTTCCATTTTGATCCGTAATGCAGCTTTATTGGTTTTCTCACCTCTTCCCTCTCCGTCTCTCACCACAACCTGGATGGCCTCTAAGCAGACAACCTCTCTCCGATCGATTACGTTTAGCTTTCATCCGGATTCAAGCTTTTTATATGAAAGCCTCTCTGTTTCTAATCAAATAAAACAGCATCTTCACAAAATAAAAGCACGGCTTATAAAATAAAAACTGCCCGGGCCTTTCAGCCGCCTGGATGTAACGGGAGACTTTGGGCTATTCTGGAGCTTGATAATCACTTTTGGCGGCGTTTCGTGTTACAGGACGCGGCAGGTTTCGGGGGCGTATTTATAGTTGGAAGGGAAACATTTGTGGTCGGGAGAGAGGGATGGAGAGAGCTCGCAGGCTTTGTTTCTGTCTGTCCCACTCTGCACCCACATCCATTTTCCTTAAAGCCACATTAGTAGAAAGCACAGGGAGCCTTTCAGGGATCACACACACACACACGTATGAGAGCAGGTAAGAACAATGAATGTTACCTCTGTAGTCACTGGTCCACAGGATACATTTAGACCAGCAGACTCATGTTCTTTTTGTGGACTGTGTGGTGTGTGGTGTGTGTGTTTTCTGTATGTCTTTACTGACGGTATACATGTGAGAACAATACAGCTGTGGTAATTTTAGAGGTAGGACGTTTAAAGTTTGAGAGCCTGAATGTACAAGCAGGTGCACAGAGGACTCATGGTGTTTTAAAGAAGTGAAACTAACACTTTGAATGCTGTTTTAAAATGCGTAACATCTTTTTAACCGACTCCAATGTCAAAATTGCCTTACTATATAAAATGTGTACTTAAAATGTGTCAAATAATTTGGTGCTTTCAAAATGACACCGATTATTCCCACAACACCTGAACACAGCATTACAGAGCCAGAAACTGAAGCCCCACTGTGATCAGGAACAGAGGAGCGTTTTGTAAACAGGAAGAGCTGGACTCACCCACTCACACACACACACACACACACTTCCTGAAACAAGCAGCTGGCCACCCCCCCCCCACCCCAAACTGCCACCCGACCCACCAGAGACACAGAGATGCCGTCCTGATCAAAGACGCACAGAAAACTTTGAAGACATCCTCTAAACTTTCCCTTTTCTATTTGATGAGGCTCATGTTTGTTTCCACAGCCGGGCGAACACAGATGCATCCATTAAAACCCCATTATTACACACGACTCCCAGATTGACCATATAAACCATAACATACATACATCAGAAGATATGTGAAACTATTTTTGGGGGAAATCTTTCAATTGAAACTGTCAAAACGGTTCTGTCTCTGCAAAAACTGTAGTTATTGCTGTACGATGCCTGGCAAGTAAAGATAACATTTACAGAAAACTGCCAGCAGGAAGGAGGAATCACTGCAACACACTCACACACACACACACACACACACACACACACACACACACACACACAC